TGGAATTGTTTCCTAAATTTCGTTTTCAAGTGTTTTATTCTAGTATACAGAAATCCAAATGATATTTTGTACATTGAATGTGTCCTTTGTGTGATATCAAACTTGTTTATGAGTTTTTCTTTGGGCTTTGTGTGCAGGTAGGTACTCTGGAAATATCCACATACAGGGTCATGTCAGCTGTGGATTAAGTTATTTTGACTTTTGTTTTCAATCTACAAGAGAGTTTTAATTTTTTTTTTTTTTTGCGTTGCACTATCTAGAACTTTTAACTTTGCCCAAGTCAGACTTGTGAAGACAAGTATCAGGAGCAGACTTCCCTGTCTTGTTCCTGATGATTAGGAAAAGCATTCAGGCTTGCAGCATTAAGTCTGATGTCAGCTATGGGTTTTCACAGATGCCCTTTATCAGGTTGAGGAAATCTTCATTTTGCAATTGTTTCTTCTGCCAAAAAGAATAATTTCTCAATTCCCTCAAATGACAATATCGCTTGAAGTTACAAATTTTCTAACCTAGATTTTATTTTTTATATGAATATTCTGTTTTGTAATTTTGCTATCCTTCATTAGAATATGTTTTGTTTCTTTTTGTTTTTTTACTTTTTGTTGTCATATTTTCCTTTAGGATTTTAAACATGATTTTCTCTATTTATTGAACACATTTCTTATAGCTACTTTAAAGTATTTATCTGCTAAAGAGAGTATCTGCACACCCTCAGGGGCAGTTTACATTGAATTGTAAGGGGGTTTTTGCCTAAGAATAGTCTTACTTTGCCTGGCTGTTATTTTTTTAGTGAAAAGTATATTGTTAAAAATTTCTTGTAGCAACTCTAGATTGTGACTTGTCCCCAAAAGGTTGCTATAATTGTTTTTATGCTGAGAAACTTATCTATACTTAATCTGTGATATTATATCCCCTGTAGTATGGCCTGCTCATGCCTCTGATGTTTTCTTATTAAATTATTTTATTTTTCCACTTAACTTCCTGGGTTCACCCAGTGTCTACATAAATTCATGGTCATCAAAATTACTTAAGGCAAGACTTGGACACTGACAAATAGTTTTGCTGTAGGTATTGGGCTGCACATGAATATTTTAGGCAAATAGCACATAGAATATGTATTATAGTATAAGTCCTCCCAGATTATACTTTTTCTGAGTCTTGCCATGGCTCCTCTGCATATGCCAATCACCTGAATGCACACCAGCAGTGCTTGACTGGCTTGGGCATTTTGGTGTCTGCTAAGCATGCACACAGCCGTAGCTGAACATATGCTTGCTGCAGGCATGACCACAATCTCAGACCAGCAGAGCATCTGGCTTTCCTGCTTGAAACCACACGAATTGTTAGTTCACCATCACCTCACTCCCTACGCCAAATTAACTGAACGTCCTTAAACTGTGTAATTTTGCTGAAGGTTCTCAAGGCTTTCCTAATTTTGGAAGAACCTTCATGCCCATAATGCTCAGTGTTGGGAGGTTGGGAAAGAATGGTAGCCACAGTAGGCAAGTGCACTGCTGGTGTTCCCTGGATCTGTAGCTTTCCAATATATTTTGCTTTTTCTTGATGGCTTGAGCATTTACTGTGCTGTTGTATACTACATAAATATAATTTAAAGTGGATGCAAGATGTTTTATAGAAATATAATCATTCTTTATCTCTTCATCCAATCTCAGACATTTAGAGATTTTCCAATTTCAGAGAAAAAATATATAATGAAAAACAAAAATTATTTTGTCAGAGATATTTGCTGAAAAAATAATTACAAAATATAATTACAAGGTCAAATGTGCATTTCTACAAGTCAGTTCAACTCCATTTGTGCTGCTCTGAGAATGAACCAAGTAATGAAAGTGCCATGAGGAAGGATGTGGGAGGCTGAGGCTTAACCAGGTGAATTTCTTTATGTGGGTCAAGGAGGGTCTACAGTTAATGGCTTTTGGACCTAAATATCAAGAACTCAGTGGTGTGGTCACAGTTAGAGTATCCTGTCTCAGAAGTGGAGTTGCATATACACCAGGCCCACAGATGATGCCTAAGCTGGATGTGAGTGTATAATTTACCCTGAGAAAGAGCTCTCTCCCACACATGCTGGGCTGAGGCAGTAGCTTGGGGTCCCTATCATGGAGGCCATGGCTCACCCAGAAGATGGCTCTCAAGCATAGACCAAGAGGAGTAAAGTCTAAGGTGACAAAGTGATATAAGTCAGACTTTGAAAGCTTAGAGCAGTGATCTCAGTGACAGAACTTTGTTTCCCCAAGGACTGGACAGATTGTGTCCCAGGACTGGGGACCCTCTCTGTACTTAGTTTGGGTGGGGTGGACACAGGGACACTTGCTTCTTGCTCTCACATTGCTGAACAGCCCTCTTCTGCTCCACCCCAGCACGCTTACTGATGTGCATGCCTTTATTGAGCCTTGCTCAGCCTGACTCTGCAGTCACCTGTCCCTTTAGAGGGACTGAGATGACTCAGTCTGTGACATTCAATTCCACAGTTGAAGTAAGGGTCCCCATATGTCCGTGTTCTTGTGAGGAGAGAAGCACCTGCTGTTGTGACGTCTACACACTTCCTGTGCCAACAGCCTCATGGGCAGGGGTCTCGTGTCACCCTGCCTACACTGACCAAATGAGACTGAAAGTAGGAGCCTCTGTGAATCACCTGCCGTGGAAAAGCACAGATCCTGGTGCAATGTCTGCGATCACCTAGGGCTACAAGCTGTCTGCATGCAATGCAGTTCCTTCAGAATGGTGTCATCAGAGTGGACTAAGGGTGCCACAGTCTTCCGTATCGGATCCAAACCCACATAGCAGCTAGTGGAATGAACATGGTATAAAATAGAGGAACCCTCACCCACAGCCCAAGAGTGTGTTTGACAGCAGGAGCATGTGTGTGCAGATGGATGTTTTCTTTCCATTAGCTGTGGCCTTTTGGAAATGAGCAAGATGGCTGTGGTTTAACTGTCCTTATTTCATCTTACAACACCAGAGACACTTTGCACTGTCCCAACCAGTAGGGGACTGTTTAACTTCAAGATTCTCCAAAAGTCAACTGCAGGTGAAAGTGCACAAACATAAAACTAAACCTGAGAAAATAAACATCCTCATCATACTAGCGGCCTCATTCCACCCCACTGTCTCCTGCACCCCCACATTCCTCTATCTGCACCTCCCAAGTCCAGGGCAGCCCAGGGTGGGTTGAGAAGTAAGGTGCTAAGGAGTTGGAAGCCACAGGAGACACTTCCTAGGAGCCTCAGCAAGGACATCAGCCCACAGAGCTGCAAGTCATTTGCTACTTTCCCCTCGTTGCCTCTGTGCTTTCCACATGCAGAAGCAGTTCCAGATCACTAATTAGAGGCGCAGACATTTGTCCAAGGAGATTGAACAAATTTTTGAGAACCAGGGAGTAGATCAAAATTAAATTTCTTCTTCCTTTATCTGCTGGTTTTATGTAGTTTCCACATGGGAATCTCTACTTGGCTTCCAAATCACTCATTTCACAGAAGCTGAAGCTGATTGTAAAAAAAGAGAAAAAAAAAGAAAAAAATCAAGGATGCCTCAGTGGCTCATGGATTGAGCATCTGTCTTCAGCTCAGGGTGTGATCCTGGAGTGGAGGTGAAGTTCTGCATGGGGCTCCAGGAAGGAGCCTGCTTCTCCCTCTGCCTGTGTCTGCCTCTCTCTGTGAAGCCCTTATGAATAAATAAATAAAATTCAAAACAAAACAAAAAGTCATTCCCATTTAAATGAGACATTGTTTCATTTCTAATACATCAAATTTATTGCTCTAAGCTCTTTCATTACTGAAAATGGGAAAATATACAACTACTAACTTTTCAACAACTTATCACAAACTGAACATTTTGTTGTACATCTATGTTTGTAGAAATACAAACAGACATAAAAATGAGTAGAGACTCCGTTGTTAGTGTGTGTGCATGCAGGCCTGTTGTCTATTATTTCCAAAGTAAATATGCCAACATTAGATGCTAATGCTGTGGAATACTTGCATGTACCCAGTAGAATTAACTTATCACATCCATGCAACTCAAAGCAACAGGACACACTATATCTTCACTTAATGCATGAGAAAATTATGTCACAGAAATGAAATAACTTTAGGACCAAGATTTAAACACAGGCACTTGGGATTCAAAATCCAAGCACTTCACCCCTCTACCACCGTTTCCTTTCAGTGTTAGTCTGGGTCTCATGAGTTCTTATGAGATCAGGAAACATATTGTCCATAAAACACTGCTATAGGGCTGAGCACACCCGCCAGTCATGTGACATGTTTTATTGTCACCACCCAAATGTCTTAAACCAAATGACTCTGAATCAACTGATCATAGAAGGGGAAATAACCTGGGTATCTTCTTCACTAGCTGTGGCTCTCCAGTTTGGGCCAGTGCCTCAATGAGGCATCATTAGACCACCTCAGGGCAAGAATTAGGAATATGGAATTGACCAATATTACAACCAACACTGTATTTGAAGGCTCAGCTGTCATGCTGCCTCTTACATTTGACTCTCAATTAGATAGCACCAAATAAAAGCAGACATAGGCCAAAGTAGAATTTTGATTGCTTTTATTGTGTTTACTATGATAAACAGTACGAAATTCAGGTAGCAAGGATGTGTGCTTCCAGGGAATCATCTGGATAAAGAAGAGTTCAAGGATACAGCTGGAAGCTGCATGCTAGCTGTACTCAGAGGCATGGTACTGAGTGGCTGAGGAGCTGGTGGGCATTGAGGAGAGAGCAGTGCTGAAGCCCCTGGGGATGGCCCCCTGTCCCCAACTCTGAGTCATGGCCGAATTTGTTCTTGCTGCAGAGTGAAAGTTTCTGTTTGCCCAGTGGTTTATAAATCCATTCTGCATAATGACACTATAGAGAAGACACACGTGAAATGAAATAACCCAATCTCAGAAAGAAAACCCCACTAGATCCTCAGCAGACACTTTGGAACAGCAGCCAAGTACAAAATTGGATCCTGGTGGCACCGTGTGTTAGGAACTCTTCCCATTACCATCGAGCACTGATCTCCCAAGCAGATAGATGGTGATGATGATGGAGTACGTCAGACTCTTCAGGAGGAGGAGGAGGTAGGTGTAGTAGGCAGAGGTGTTCATGAGCTGCAGCGAGTCTAAAAGAAATGATTTATTACTTCCACAGTTTTTTTGAAAGGCCAAGATTTAGTCATTGGAGAGTGGTGACTGTATATATTTCTGATAACCTAGCTTGAAGTGACACCTCACACCAGCACAACCGGGTAGTAAATACTTACATCACCATCACCACCACCACCACCTGAGACACCTCAGAACCCAGTTTTTTAGGTCAAGTCAGTCAAAAACCTATGAAATTCACATAGTACATTCCAAAGTATTAAAAAGTAAGGTTGTGCTTATAATGAGTGAATTCTGTGGGAAAAAAATACATTGGTGATAAATGGCTTTTAGCACATTCATCACATCCTGAATCTAGGCAAGCATAAGAAACAATATACATTAAGTACAAACTGAATGTCATTTATTTTGAGAACTTTGCATGCAAAGCTTAAATCTTACTTAATTTTACAATAACCTCTGAGATGATTATTTTCATTCCCAATTTACAAATAATATAAGTACAGAGAGAGAAGCCATTTGCCTGATTTCATACAACTAGTGAATACTAGACTCCAGATTTCAATCCGAGCAGCACAGAATTGAAGAACACTTTCTTGGTTTCTCTGCAATTCTGCATCTCCACATATAATAAATAGCCAAGACTTCAAAATGATTAAGCCAATTAAAAGTTGGATGCTGCTGCTGAAGATGATGATGATGTTGATGATGGTTAGAGTCCAGAAGTCCCCTGATATTGGCCTTGGAAGATCGATCAGCAGGGCTGGAACCCATGCTCCTCATCATTTCCTTTTCTTTATATGTGGGGAGATGGAGCCAGGAGCTAGAAATTATGATGCAGCAGCTAAAAAGGATACCTAAGCTAGACATGACACATATTCCATGTTATATCTTCAATAAGTGAGTTAGGTGTTATTTGTGTTGATTTTGCTGGGCTCCAAAATTGTAAATAGTTTACCCATACTCATGCACTGGATAATTAAAAGGCTGGAGTCTGAGTTTAGTCTGTGGCACTGGAAGCCCTGCACTGACACCTCCTCCCCATGTGTGCACCTGTCTCAGGACCTTGGCTTTGGGACTTAGAGGAAGAACAAAACCTTAGTAAGTGTGTGAACTTGATTCATCTTGAATCTAATGGTGTCGGTTTCAGCCTCAGCTCTCGCTGTGTGGCATGGAGACTGAATTCATTGTAGCTCATTGCCCTCATGTGTAAAATGGGAATATAATCCATCACAGTGAGAATAAGAGCTATAAACAAAATGCACTCACAGTGCAGCACAATGTCTTCTGTACAAGAACCTCTCAGTGTCTGTTAATGTTCTTAACTACCAGCAAGAATAAGGCTAAAAAAATATAGAAACAACATGATATCATGATTTCCTCAGACAGTGAAATACCAGTCACAAAAATGAACGAAATTCATTGCTGAAAGAATTCAGGGCACATCACTGCACCCCTAATTCATGGTCCTCTCATACCCCAGCCAGCAGTTACTGTGTGAAGATGACCTGAGAGACGCTGGATTGACATAAATATCACTCAGTCTATTTTGCAAGATACAGCCATTCTGAGGTTTCTCCCTGAAGCCAGGGGAGTTCAAGGGTTAAGTTGATCAAGAAGGAAAAATTCTGCAGCATAACATAAAGGCAAATATAGCCAAAAACTTACCATATTCATCATCCAGGGAAGCTTCTGTGGAGTTAAGAGCAACTGGTTCTAAAAGAAATGAGGACTAGTATTATTCATTGTTCATATCCATTGTTTAACTTTCCTCTGTGTTGTGGATAGATGATGATGATGATAGATAGATAGATAGATAGATAGATAGATAGATAGATAGATAGATAGATAATAGATAGATAGATGATAGAATTTGTCAGGAGAGAGGAAGAGCTATACAAATAGCATCCCAATTCTAGAAATTGTTTATTTGGTTTTACATAATTTAGTAGATCAATTCACATATTGTATTTCTGCACATAAAGATGTTGCAGTTTGTGATTGATGCATTTTTTTAGTCTCAGAACTGGAGGGTAATGCCTAACATTATCTTGTTTTCCTTCTGTGCTCATAGCTTGTAGCACAATAGGTACTCCACAGTATTTGCTTTATAAATATTATTGATTAGAAAAGTAATGAGAAACGGTGACTGCTGTCCAGTCCTCTTCACCCACTACTCACATGAAGGGTTGCTCCCAAATGGATCTGTCCAACTCTAAAATCCACAGCAGCACCTTACATGTTGGAAGGAGTCTGGTTTAGGTAAATTTCCTAAGGTAAGAAGCAGCCCTGTCTTTCAAATCATGCGTGCCCCAGTATCCTCAACTCTTGCACATGATTTTCTGGACTGATGGTGTTGGAAGACCTGACAACAATACTAAAGAAGGCCAAAACCTACTGTTTGATTGTTATTGTGCCAGGCACTATGTGGAAGTTTATAGGCATTATCTTATCTCATCTCCCCATTACATTGATAAGAGCTGAATTTGGAGAATTCCATGTTACCCAGAAGGAAACAAGATTTAGAAAGTCTATGTCCCTTGCTGAATAGCATACCAGTGATGATTGCCAGAGCCAGCACTTAAAGGATGATTGTGGGGGTTTGATGAGCTAGAGCCTGTGGAAAGCATCTTGTAAAACAACCCATAGAAATCAAACATAACTCCACCATTTTGGACTCTCAGATACCATCTCTTCCAAATAATTGAATTAGTCTTTGCAAATGACTATTTTATTACAGAAGCTCGGCATTTCTTTTTTATTTTTTTAAGATTTTGTTATTTATTTGAGAGAGAGAGACAGAGAGAGAGCATGATGAGTGGGAATGGGCAGAGGGAGAGCAAGAAGTCAACACTCGCTAATTAAGGAGCCCAACTCTCAAATCAAACCTGCACTTTGGAATCATGATTGAGCCAATGGCAGTCACTTAACCGAGTAAGCTACCATGCAACCCTAAAAGTTCAGCATCTCATTGCACAAGTTTGCCAGAATAGAATGAAAGGCCACATCACACTGATAGTTGTCTGAATACATAAATCTGAGGTGAGAGTTGTAATTATCTACAGTATAGAAAAACAAATGAAAAAAAAAAACACCCAATTTACATACAAACACGAAAACCATTAATGGTAGTTGACCATTGGATGCAGGAAGAGAAAGTTGCAAATTTCTTTTGGTTTATCCTTTTTCTGCTCAATGTGTCCTTGTCCACACAGACATGGCTCTGGCATGCAATTTTACGCACTCCAGACAATCTTATGTTGGTGTGCACTTGAAGAAATGGGTGTGAGGTATAGACTTTTGGTTAAATATCAGAAAGGACAATGTTAGGATAATTATGTTAAATGATAAAATATCCTAAAGGTCTGACTTTACAATGCCTTCAAGGTCTCTTATCCATATAGTGATTTTATTCATCATATTTGCCCCTGAGACTAATATAAAACTATAGGTTAGCTAACTGGAAGTAAAATCAAAACTTCAAAAAAGGTAAATAAATATCTCTTACCATAATCATGCATTGAATGATATGAAGACAGGAAACAAACAACTTTCATAATAAAACTTGTATTTGTGTGCTAGGGGCCCTTTCTCAATCAAGGTTTGTCAAAAATGTGGACAAGATGAGTTTTATCTCTCTTCAGATCATTCACTGTTCAGTGCTTTCATGTATAAACATATATATAAGTGTTATATATTTTTTAAAAAGCTTCCATGGTTTAGCACGGAAAATGTGTTGTAGAATTCCTTAGCAGAAATGCCCTCATAACAAAAACAAAAACAAAAACAAAAAACAAAAAAAGCAAAAAAACAAAAACAAAACAAAACAAAAAAAAGAAATGCCCTCATTTGTTTGTTGTTATGAGAAGACCTTGGAAGATATCCTCTCTGTTAAATCTAGAAATAAACATTAAGGCTCTTTGTATAATTTGATTTTAGTTGATTTTAAGAAAGGATAAAAATGAGTAGTATGAGTATAGGAATAAATTCATCCGTGTCATGTTTTCAACAGAAAGTACTTTCACTGTCATAATTTCTGTTGCTCTGCATCGCAGTTCAGGTAAAAGTAAACGAAAATATTTAATCCTAAATTGATCATTGAACAAACTAAGAATCTATGAAACAACATAAATTCAACTGAGCATATATTAAAGATCTACTTGGCTGTATTTAGCAACCTATTCATGAATCGGGCATCATCCTATCCAGCAAGTAGGAGGCAACTCCTAAGGGCTATAGGAAAGAGGTTTTTCAAGATAGAGAGTGAAAAAGAAATTATTAGCAAAGAATACACTGTTTTAGGCAGGGTCGCTATCCCAAGGGGAGCAGAGGGGGTCAATCAGTAAACATCCTAGTGCTGACCAGGAAATATCCATGTCCACTGGCTAAAGGTTACAGTTCTGGGTATTGTAACTGCAGTGCAGTAGCTATGAAGACTTGGTTTACTGATTCGTGGCCTCAAGCTAAATGAGTACATCGTGAGCCTGTGGTTTCCTTTACAACAACCTTCCCTTTTGATCTGATCTCAGCTTAACTCAGAGATGGGATCAAAATTGAAGATATTAATACGGGTCTCAGCAACAGTGCTGAAGTTCTCAGTTTGTGTTGTTCTTCTGGGTGATTTCATGGGTCTTGACCTTTATGCTCAATCCTTGTAATATTCAAGGGTTACCACTTCAGCTGTATAATATTTAAATTGGACATTTTGTCATTCTTTGGTGATGTTCCAGTTTTAGAAAGATCATTTGTTTATAGGTTTCTGGCTTAGAACAGGCATGTAAAGTTTTTGAGAGAACAAAATGCATCAGGCAGATTATTATGATGACTATAAACAGGATAATTCCCCATGTTTAGAGCGCTTTCTGATGTCATTGTCCACAATATTCAAAGCAATTAGAATCAAATAAGTAGGAAAGACCCTGCTGAAAGAGTTACTGAGTTTTACCTTCCCCAGTAGTGTTCATCTGGGTATAGCAAGTGAGGTGGCCTACAGCACAGATTCAGCCTTTCTCAGCGAAGAGATAATCGAGGGCTACCTTCAAGAATTACTTTGGACAGAAAGGATTTTCTGGTGGCTGCCCTGGTTTTCCTTTAGACCCGACTCTGTTTAATACACTCCCATTGTTTATCCACCTTCATTTCTCTGTCAGAAGCAGACTGGTGCCATATTACAAGGACATCAGGACAGCCAACGTCTGGCAATGAGGGGCCGTTTTTTTTTTTTTTTTTTTTTGTAGAATTGGAATGGACTTTATCTACACGTACCACAATTTTACAAGGATTTGTGTTGGGCAGCCATTACTTTAGGAGGGATTCTGCAAAAATTTCAAGAATGAAGGAGAAGGCCTTGATCAGACTTCATTTACATTTATCCCACACTAGGGAAGTAGGGCCCTGCCAAAGGAATACATCCTGGTAGCTTCTTGGTAGTCCCAACTAACTAGGGATTTAAATTTAGGAGAGTCAACCAATGAGATATCTTTACCTTGAGAAAATGTAGGAGCAGAGTAAGATTTTCTGCTAGCCTGAAATACAAGTTTGCTCTAAATTACAGAGGTTACCCTTTGTCAATGACATAGGATATACAGGTCATTGCCAGAGTACAGGATAAGAAAGGAGGGAGAAAGGAGTTCATATTTAGTTAGTTTCGCCTAAACCCCTGTTTAGGTGAAAGAAGTCTCCTGTATCTGGGCAGAACCAGGTGATAGATGCAGACATTTGTAGCTATGTGCTGCGTACAAGGCTCAACCTTTAGTTTTACAGCTGTTTCACTTGTTAAGGTCCCTCTTTTACTGGGATAGTTAGGGATTACCTTCCTCTGACGTTTTGTCAAAAATACCTAATCAGCAGGCTGTAAACTGTTACCCACAGGATCCTTTTTGTGATCGAAGAAGGTTTCCAGTTTAACCTTTTATTGACAGTTTTGAGAATCAGATTTTGGAGATTTAGAGTAGTGGTAAGACTAGCAGGAACACAAAGGATCAGCAGAAATTTGTACACTAAGACAATTCCAAGATGGTGGCAGGGTTTTCCTAAATGTTCCTGTGATTTGCCCAACGAAGGGGGAGCCTTGATCACGGGAATCACAGAAGGTGGCCCCCCCAAGGGAAAGCCCATTTATAAGTGTGCGTTTCCATAGTGAGGTCATCAGCCTCTTGGCAGAAAAATAAATACATAATGACAAGTGCATATGACAACCCATACTAAGCGGCAATGGAATGAAGTCCAGCTGCAAGTATTCAACGTGTCCAGAGAGAGGAGTTATGAAGCCTCTGGAGGCAAAGATAATTTTCCCAGAATTAAGGACCTGACACATTAGACACTGATTGTAAACCATTTTGTATATTATATAAGTCTTCCCAGTGACATCCTTTCAAAATTTGAGCCATTTAAAACGTCCATTGTGGGTAAAGTAATGAAAAAGCAAAACTTATGAGAAATGAGGTTTGCCATGGAGCCCAAAGAACCAAGTGACTGCTCTGGTTTTCCATTAGACCTGACTCTTTGTCTAATATGCTCTCATTTTTATCCACCTTCATTTCTCTGATTCAGAAGCAGACAGATTCCATATTACAAGGACATCAGGACAGCCAACGTCTGGCAATGAGGGGCAATTTTTTTTGTAGAACAGAATAGACTTTATGTACACGTACCACAATCTTACAAATACAATATCTAGAAAACTTAGTGTGAGCTAATTTTTGACAATGCGTCCCATTGTAATCTAACATGCCAAATGATTCAACTAGTTTAAGAAACCCACTGGAATGCTCCAAGTCAAAGAGACTTAAGCGGACCAAAACTCCAAGAAAGTAAACTAAGAACCCTAACCACCCCCCCGCCCCCTATAAAAGCATTCGTCCTTTTGGCAGGAGAAAACCCAAATTCTAATGGTCATCAACTTACTTTTGATTTGAAAATTCTTCATTCCAACGTCAGTCAGTCCTGCCCACACATAATATTCCTTTCCAAACATCCCCTTTTTGCAAACATATACAACTTTCTCTTTTACACTCATGTTTTGTCCTCAGTTTATCCTCTTTGGATAACCAGCCTGCCTTTAGAACAAAATCCCTCTTTTTCCCCCCAAAAGTGTATTTCCATTCCTCATACTTTTTCTTACTAAAAACACATCTCTTACTTTCTTTGCTTTCCAAGTGTTTCTCTTTATTTTCAGCAGTCTGCATCACATACACTAGAATTCTGAACTCGTAGAAACCTTCATATTTAAAGCAAGCTAGTCATCATGCAGTTGTGAACCGTTTGTTAATCTGCAATCTTTAGATTGCCGAATTTATGCCGAATATCATAATTTCTAGAAATGTGTACTTCTTCATAAAACAATCTTTCAGTAAAGCACCAAATATGACTATGAACAGGCCCGAGTTTATCTTTGCTTTCCTAAAGCCAATCATTTACAAGCCCTTTTCCATAAATAGGGGAATAAGAGGGAAGGTCAAGGAACAGAAGTACTTTGAATTCCTTCAAGAGATGCATTTCTACTTCTGTTAAGATTTGTCAGCCCAGTTGCCCTCAATTAATCAGGGTTTTATTCACATGAAATGACATCATGGGTTGATCCACCTAATCAAGCACATGAACCTCAATTTGCTTCCTTCCCTCTGGTTGCATAGTTTTAATTTTAAGATTTCTGACATGTGGAATAACACCCTTTGTGCGTTATGAGGGTCTTCAAGTCAGTGCAAAGAATACTACCCTCCCAGTACTCAGAGTCACTCACAGTCAGAGCCGAGGAAGGAACCAACAAGCCACATGTCCCAAGCAGGCAGAAAGCTAAGGGCAGTTACACAGGATGACACAAGCAAGAAGGCAATAGCTCTCACTGTGAGAGAAAGGATCGATAGCAAGGGCCTGGATTTGGAAAGAATGGGACAACAAGAAATTTTACTTTCCTCTCTGGACCAAGCACTGTGGACAGAGATTTGGAAGGAGCTACTTCTGTTAAGAGTTTCTACTCTTCCCTGCCTTCTGCTAGTTTTTCTAGGATCCCTTGTGCAGGTGCTGGAATTTACCCGAATTTTCTCTTGATTGTTTAAGAGAAAAAAGCACATAGCAATTTGCCAGGAACCACCCCATTTCATCAACTGTGGAGGGGGCTCATTTGGCGGCTCTCCTATGAAGATAGATACGGGGGTGTCTGTAAGGCTATGAAATAGCAGACTGCTGTTTGTGGCTGTGTAGTCTGTTCAGAGTGGAAAATCAATTCAGACTAGAATGAACCCACAGAGGAGCCCAGAGGGGAGCAGGAGTAGTTGGATCAGTCTATTAATGTTCTGTTTTAGGTACTTCTTCCATCTTTAATTTTTCATTAGCCTTTTGCAATGAGTCAATCAAATAACTTTGAAATATTAAATATTTTGGAAGATTCTATTTAATTGGGGAACTCTTGCTTTTGACTGCACATCTTAACGATCTGATTTAATTTGCAAGTTCCCCCATTATGGGCATTATATTTCTAGGTTATCTTTGCCCTGAGGTCTCGCAGCAGCTTGGCCTTTATCTACATGAATGAAGACTAACTGTACATGAACATTAGCGTATGGGCAGCAGGAGATGATACTGAGTTCTGGCCACAAGAAGACTCTGTGTGCACCAGCAATTCTCTGGAATATTGCTGAAGTTTCCATCTGTGAAACTTGGTCTTGCTTGGTTCTTTGCCTGTTCGGTTGGACTCTGTGCAAATATCCAGCTCAGTGAGGCCCAGAGCAGACACCCTAGTAACTGAACACAGGCATAACATTCTGCCAGCCCAAGCTGACCTGCCTGTCAAGCAAAGCCAATTAGATTAGGAGTCAGAACACAAAGTGAATTAGAGCTTGGAACCAGGGAGAACTCACCCACAGTGCTTGCACCAGGTGGGAAAGATCGTGAACTTAGAGGGCTCACAGTTACCACCTCTGTGTTTTGCTTTGCCTCTGAATGCCCTTCGGAGTCAACATCAGATTCCATCCTTGCCACCAAATCTGTTAACAAAAATCAACCAAGTAAATGTTTACAGTCTAAATTCTCTGTTAATCAACCAATTTATGAATCACACAGCATTCCATTTAGCAAGCAGAGGGAACTCCAAAAACTATAGGAGAGGAAAGGTTTTTAAGAATAGGCAGGAGGTGGGAAGGGAATATTTAGCAAAGAATTCATTGTTTTGGGCAAAGTCACCCTCCCAAGGGGAAGGGAATGGGTCAATCAGGAAACTTCCCAGGGCTGACCAGTAAATTCCCATATTGACTGATTAAAGATTACTCTTATGGGGGGGGGGGGTTGAATGGCATTTGGTTTAGGTAGTAAGTCTAGATTTATTGCCTTGGGGCCATAAGCTAAGTTTTGCCATTTGGGTCTGTGGGTTTTTTTTTTCCAATGCTCCGAGAACAGAAAGACTTACTTCAGTAATTTAGACTTGTATATAGCAAAGCTCTTCAAACATCTTATTACGTGCTCCTTCTCCACTGCTTAAGAAGTGCTTATCAACCACAAGGAAAAACTAAAGTGCTTCCTACTTATGGTCCCTTTGGGGCCTTGGTCTGTGATGTCAATGCCAGGACTTGACTTTTGAGTCTAGTCAGTTAGTGGATCAGAGCGGGGCCAGGGCACATTGAGGCCATCTGCCCTCCCTATCTAAATATGACCAGTGTCTGCCCCAATGAGGCATTTTGGACAAATGCTTGAATCACAAGTGACCCTGGTTGATTAGGAAAAGTATATTCACTTGACTGCAGTGATCCTCCTTGGGACAGTAGTTCATCCTGCATCCCTTCCAGTCTGGCTCACACTAGAATTGCAATAAAAGTTTGCTTAGCAGTATTACCAATGGTAATAAATACATTCATTGTGTTGGATGGAGAATGTTAATATACCTTTGCTTCATTCAGTGTTTACTTACTAAATTTCACCTAATATCACCTATGCTGATATTTTAATTTGAATCTGAAAAATTCAAGACCATACTAAAACCTCAGTAGTCAAATTATTATTTCTGGTTGAGTTGTGATTCGGCTCCATGAGATCAATAGCATTTTGTCTCCTATAACTCATTGTTTATGGGTGATACTTTGAGTAGAGCAAGATTGAAGTAAAAAGTATTTTGACTGCTACATAGAGCGTTCTTGAAATATGTATAATTGTTTTTATTTCCTGATCAAGTAAAGGTATCAAAAGTGGACTCCCTTGTGTGTTTCCTATGTGAGAGGTTGCTAAGGGCTTTCACATGTACTGTTTCATTAAATCAAGAAATGATGGTAAAAAACATCACTGTGGGGCAGCCTGGGTGGCTCAGGGGTTTAGCCTTCAGTCCAGGGCATGATCCTGGAGATCTGGGATCGAGTCCCACATCAAGCTCCCTACATGGAGCCTGCTTCTCCCTCTGCCTGTGTCTCTGTCTCTGTCTCTCTCTCTCTCTCTGTCTCTATGAATAAATAAATAAAATCTTTAAAAATCATCACTGTGAAATTAATATTTTGGATGCTAAAACTGAGGTGACAAAGGCTAAGTAAATTTGTCCTTTTCTCTTTCTCTGTAGGTTCAAAAACCCATACTGTTTTTTTTAAAAGATATATTTATTTGTTTTGAGAGAAAGAGAGAGAGAAAGAGCAAGAGCATATGTGGGAAGGGGCAGAGAGGGAATTTCAAATAACTCTGTGCTAAGTGGGGAATCCCGATACAGGGATCCATCTCATGACCCTGAGATCATGACCTGAGCTGAATGAAGTGTCAGATGTTCAACTTACTGAGTCTCCCAGGTGCCCTCAAAGCCCATACTATTTGAAATCTATGGGGAAAGAGCAGAATATATATGCACCATGAAAGGCAACAACATTAGATAAAAATTTCTAATTGCTTGTTTTCATTAATACTTGACAGAAAAAATAGGGTTTTCTCTTTGAAACAAAGGGTCCTGGGAGGTTATATTCCTATTTGTATGTACATACCTTCATTTATCGAAGGAAAAAGAATCTCTTGATTAATCCCTCCTCTATCACTCTCGTGGTTGACAATACATTTGTATTCTTTATCCTTGGGCAGTCCAGTCACGGTCAGCCAGCTGAATTTCATGTATGTGTCCTTAGTCTTCATAGTGTTTCCCTGCTGGGATTGCAGAACTGTTTCGTCATTCTTTTCTTTCCAATCTACCTTGATAATTTCAGGAAAAAAATCCTCAAGAAGACAAAGATATGTTCCAGCCTCATGGATTTTTATCTCAGAAATTGAAGGAAGAAAAACTGTGGGCTTGGGGGAAGTGTCTTCATTGGCACTTTTATCTGGGAAAAAAATGGAATAACAATAAAAACATAATGAGAGAAACACAAACATTTTGTGGTTTGGAACCACCCAGCACATAGTAAAAGGAAGGAAATATTGCTGTAGAATTAGTGTGTCATGGCCCTTCATCCACAGTGGTTTATGACATACTTAGTTTCCACAGGAAAAGAGGTTCTAGTATGTAACTTGCCCAAAGTCATAGCTATTAAGTGAAAGAGTCCCGACCATAACGTGGAATATTTTGAAACAATATACAGTCACTCGTTTGAATGGGAATCTATCGAGTTGATCTTTTAGTTACAAATATGGATCTCATACCCTCTTCTGAGTACTGGAATTCTTCACCTTGACTTCTGATTTTATAGAACATCTCATTCTTGCATCTGAACCACTGCAGGATTTTGTGTAAGGCAAAGTGTATTGCTTCACCTCCAAATTATTTACAATGCCTTAAATTTAGAAACAAAATGTCAATATTTCCAAAACTTCTCTTTAAAAAAATTTACTGATTATTTTCAAAAATGTTCTTAGAACCCTAAACAAGTAATGCACTGGTCAGATTTTTGTTCTGCTTTAGGAAATGTTCACTAAAAGTACTTTTTATATTGGAATTTCATTTGAAGTTGTAGCCTGAGTGAGAAGACACTGTATTTTGAGCCTAAGCATCCCTCCTTAAATTTGAACCTGCCCTACAAGCCTGCTGAATTTGTCGTAGTACCCCTCAATTTTCTTTCATTTCAAATGCTGAATAAAATTATATGTCAAAAGTTATTGTCAGAGTTTCTTGCAGATGGGATCAGAACTTCCTTTACTAATAGGAATAAAGTATTGGGGATAGCAATTGGACCTATGTCAATCGAGCATCGAGATTCATTCCTTCATTTGATCCTCATTGAAAATATGTCTTTCACACACCAATTAATAGCGAATCACTTGTCTTATTTTATCCAATGACTTTTCAGTGTTCAGAAAACCAAAGGAAACCTAGTAAGGCCTAGTAACATGGGGTCAGTTCATGGAACTGCTTCACCTGTCTTGTCCAAAGCTAATGTCATATTTTTCCCACCAACATCACAATCTATGAGCATTCCAAGCTCTCAACAGTAATTTCTACCTCAAACTGACTTCCGTCCAGATCATGTCCAAAGTTTGGCTTCAAACTTCTACAGTTTTCCTTCATGATGGAATAACAAGATCAATGGCTGGTTGCCTGGTCCTCCAAATTTCCCTATTGTCACATTAGATCATTAGGCTGTTACCTGCCTGACCAGGTCTGCTGAAGGTCACCATCTATAAGTGACATTAAATGTCATGATGCCCATAGCAATGTTGCAATAATAGAATGAAATGCATTTATTTAAAGACCTTTTCATCCATTTTACAAATTGGATGTGGAAGGCAATGCCCACTGTATCACTTCACAGTCCTCCTAAAGGACTCATGCTTTGAAGTCTTTATCTCATTTTATGGTGGGAAAAACAAAACATATTTGAAAACTTGGTGTGCTTCATTTTAGCAGTTACTAAAAGGTTGTACTGCACTATGTTTTTCTCCTATCTTTGAACATTCTACCCTATGTTTCTATGTTTCTAGCCAGATACATGGGCCTTTTTTTCTTCTACTTTCCTTAGTGCTTTTGGTCTTCCATTTGTATCTCCAGGCCTAACTGTACTTGTGTATTTTATTTTAGGTCTTCTCAAGTAGATTTTGGAAATCAGAGGCATAAATAGACGAGAAATAGGTTGTGCATTAGAGCTTGTTTCTTTTTCTGTCCCAAAGCTTGATAGTTCAGTGAGGTCTACCTTGAAGGTGACATGAAAAGTGGTAGAAGATATTTGCAAATCACACTCTGCTATGTAAACAGAAAACATTCAGGATCAAACATGCGAAATGTCAGAGCATAAGATGAAGCTTTTGTTTATGCCTCATAAAACAGAGGTTGCCTTCTGTTTTAGTTTGAGCAATTTCTCATTTCTAAAGAAGCCCTTCTAATACTCTATTTTGCAACCATGACTCTTGGATAAGATATCAACCTGAAATACACTCATTTGAAGCTAATTATGGGGGTAATACTGGTAAAAAGACAATAAAGACTTTTAATAAGGATGGTAAATATTACTTGGGACTAAAGTCTCTATACTTTATGCTGATATTGTAAATATATAGAATGACAGAATGACTTATTTTGTAAGTGGATAACTATTTTTTCCGTAAAACATCTAGTGACATCATCATAAGGGTGTCACCAAACAGACACTCAGAGCTTAAGATGATTCAGAAATTTGCTCTAACGTACACATTTTATTTTTTTTTAATTTTACTTATTAATTCATGAGAGATGTAAACAGAGAGGCAGAGACACAGGCAGAAGGAGAAGCAGGCTCTCTGTGGGGAGCCTGATGTGGGACTCGATTCCAGGACCCTGGGATCATGACCTGAGCTGCAGGAAGATGCTCAGCCACTGAGCCACCCAGATGGCCTAACGTATACATTTTAGATACATGTGAGAAGTCTGAATAAAATTTTTATTGAAATAAGAGGGCAAAAAAAGTATTTCTTGAGTGATATTTGTAAAAAAATAATTTCTAATTTGTTCCTATATTCCAATGAAGATATAAAATACCAAACGCGAGTATTTGAAGGGTATCTAGGTGGCTCATTTGGTTAAGCATCTGCCTTTGGCTCAGCTCATGATCCCAGGGTCCTGAGATGGATCCCAGTGCCTTGGGCTTCATGCTCAGTGGAGTCCGCTTCTCCCTCTGCTCCTCCCCCCAGTTCATGCATGAGCTCACTCTCTCAAATTCCTCAAATAAACAAAAATTAAAATCTTTTTTAAGAAGGTGAATATTTGACCTGATATGTATATTACTGTAATTTTATATATTCAATATAAAAATTCTCCGTTGTTTACATTCAGACGTCTCCACTGAAAAGGGAGGGATCAACTTATGTTGATGCTAAGGATATATGTAGTAATACTTATTACGTTCTACTCATTTTTAGAAATATGTAACAATGAGTCTTAGAAATTGAAATTATTTTTCAAAAACTGATCAATTGTTCTAGAGTGACCTTTAGACGAGATCATAATTAATATATTTTTCTGTACTCCCGATTTAAAAAGAATTCCACCGAGTGATAATTAGAACTTGTAGAACTGACTTTTTTTAATGAATGACCATGTCCCAACCTATGCAGTAGCTATTTCCATATTTTATTTCATTGATCTCCACAACATGCACTTGAAATGGTTATTGCATTGACAGAATGAATGGATGGAAATATAGCAAATGTTAACAGAATAAGTGTGATTACAGAACATGAGAGATTCCTAACTCTGGGAAACAAACAAGGGGTAGTGGAAGGGGAGATGGGCTGGGGGATGGGGTGACTGGATGACGGGCACTGAGGGAGGCACTTGACAGGATGAGCCCTGGGTGTTATACAATACGTTGGCAAATTGAACTCCAATGAAAAAAATAAGTGTCATTACAAATTTCAATACTTTGTTTTTTTCTTTTTTCCAATTTTTCCCTAAGAAGCATGTATTAGTTTCATATTTTTAAGAAAGCAATTACCAGTGAATCAAAATTTATTTGCTGAAGGATATTTATAGAGAAAGCAATAGACCCAAAAGTCCGTAGTCCACATTTTTCTCTGAACCACCCTCTCCTTAAAAGTATTTTTTTCAATCTTGTGAGTTACATCTGTCAAATTTTTAATTAGATTGTTAGAATTTATATTGCAGTCAGTTGGAAAAAAGGAGACCAGAAAGTTGCTTTTCAATTATGAATTCATGTGGACCTATGATCACAACCACTAAAGGCATAAAAATATATTATTTCTTCTACTTTTCCAGGGTTTCACCAACCTTGTGAAAAGACTTTGAAAATGTTTATTGGAATAGATTCTATAAGGTAGCAACAGCCCAGTGAAATATTGTCCCTCATCCTGGCAAAATTTCATCCCTAAGGCTAATGAAGATGAGCAAATTTACTAGACTGAATTTGGAAAAAACAAACCCAGCTTATGACACTCTCAGAGATGTTTGTGCAGTTAAATATGTCGATACCTTATACGAATCCCCTATAGACAAAATTGCAAGTTCATCAATTTTGTCTTATTTTTCTCCACTGGTTATTTTTGGAATCAAATAAATAAGACACACAAATTTTCATAAAAATCTTTCAAAGCAGATATTGCTAATGGACCCCTTGGGGGACCACCATTGCTCTAGCTACTTAGCTCCCTGTTAATACCCTCCAAGCTAGCTTAGTCATCAACTACCCCCAGGACTGGGACAGAGTCGACCACCTCTCCCAGCATCTCACTGCTACTGATGACCAAACTGGGACCAAATCCTAGAATTCAGAGCCAGTACCAGCACCTAGTCTGCCTCCCCTCCCTACTTCGTACTGAAGAATTTTTTAAAAATTTTACCTGTAACCCTGAGAATTGTGCCAGGACCAACCCATTTGTTGTACCAGCCAGACCAGTAGCACTGTCTGAAAAGCTTTTACAGAAATATTCCTTTCTGCCCCTTATAAAATTTGCCCATATTTTTCAATATTTATATAAATATATATAAATAGGCCAGCTAGCATTAAATAAAGATGAATTTCAAGCAAAATCACATTAGATAGGAATGTAGTGAAGAATGGATGAACCGATCCCTCTCTGCTTGGGCAGTTTGGGTCTGTCTTTACCATCTCACTCACAGGTATTGGACAGTCTGATTTTACCGATTCTCATCATTTCCTGAAACATCTGAATCTTTTTTCTTAAAAGGTTTTCATGTATCATATCAGTTCTTTTCCTAGAGTGTAATTTACACTTACTACTTCTATGATTTTAACAGAAGGACAAAAATAGAAGCAATATATTTTAATATTTACTATATGAAATTTCAATATTTTATAGGAATTTTTTATTTCTACACATTGAAGGTTGGATATCTGGTTTGATTATAAGGTAAGTTCTTTCCAGAATTTAGTCCTCACTGATAGGAGGTCGAATGTGTTGTTAGGGAATGTGAAATATTAATGATGATCTCTTAACTTATATCTTCTGAAAGACTGTTCCTTTGAACTTGAAATTACCCTCACAAGTTCCAGGGCATTGATTTAAAATCCTGTGCTGCTCATCAAACGATCCTATTTGTTTTGGTCTTTCTGCAGTTGTCCAGCATGAGTGGGAAGGCTGCTCTGAGTTACACAGCTAGTCCTGCATAACTCCTCCCGTTCTTCTGCCAACTTTGATAGTCCTTTTTTTTTTTTTTTTTAGAAATACCTTAAGTATCATATTGTTAGAATTTAATAAATACATATTCAACATGACTTACTTAATGTCTTGGGAGGGAGGAGAGGCAATTTTGGTGCTGTGATTAGAAGCAGAATCATTGTTTTCTGCATGAGGAGTAAAACAAATTATGAGCTATTACTAGTTAAACATTCAACTACATAGTCTATTTAGAAGGTCAGACTACAAAAGAGTGTAGATTTAGAATAAAGTTATGGCTGACTGTTTCTAATAGCATTTAGTGGTATAAACCATGCCCTTTGGAACAAATATCTATTGAGTCCCAAACTTTGCCATAGTAACTAGTCATGTGAATTTAGGCAAATAGTTGAACTCTCTAAGCCTCTATTTCTCCATCAGTGAAATTGGAATAAGAAAATCCTCTACAACATTCTTAAGGATTGAAATAATGTACAGAAACAGAGGTATTTGATTCTCAGTAAATGTTAGCTAAGGTATTATTGTCTTTAATCAAATGGTTTGGGGCGTCTTTATCAAATTTTTCACTAAACATATATAAAGATTTTATAAGAAATATGTATTTACTATATAAATTAAGAAAGCAAAAGAGCTCATGAATCCCACATTCTGTGTCTCTGTCAGCCACTGGCCAAAAAACATGGCTCAATCAGGCCACAATCTAGAATACATACCCACTAGACTACAAGCTTATGAGTGTTGGGACTACATGTTGTGCAACCATGTCCTTCTAGTGTCCAGCATAGAAACTGTCTTCAATAACTGTTTAATGAAACAATAAATGAACAAATGAGGATGTAAACCATGTAGACAGACTCTCTTCATGGATTCTGGGTCTGAAATGGTTCACTGAGCTCACAAATTCCATTAAACTGGTCCATCTCAAGGCAATATCACAATATTCACAATAGCACAAATTGTGATTACTCTCAGCTGACCTACTAAGAAGCTAGAGTCATAAAAATATGTTGATTTATGTTCTATAGTCATCCACTGCTCCATAGTCATTCAGTGTAAGAGCTAAATTTTTGCACTGCTCTTAAAGATGAGATCTAAAGCAGTCATACCTGTTTTGCAGGTAACAAGAAAAAGGAGTACAATTTGCCAAGAGAAGAGCACTATTAATACTAGAGCTAGTTCATCAAAGTGTTTCTCACTGAAAAGACCATCTAAAAGAAAACCACCTTGAACCAAGACTTACACAAATAGTTCACAGACACAGTCCTAGAAAGATCTTAAATTCAAGTCTGCATCTGTACTGTTGTGTGTATATTTCCTAAAAGCAGAATTTCAATCTTCTTGCAGCAGGGAAGTAAAAAAACTTTATGCTCAAGTGTTTTTATCACCATACAAAGTGGCCATTACCTGCAAAATTGTTGTCCATATGCTGAGAAGATCCTACATTGTTTTTTTAAAACACATCTATCAATTCTTCATTTACAGGATCAAAAAAGAACAAAGTTACTTACAAGGAGGAGTTACTATAAGCCTAGTACCTTCTGTAAATATCTTGATCCAGCCCGGTTAGAGGTTAGCACACTGGTTAGAGTGTCTACAAAAACATCAACGTTCTCCGGAGCTTCATGGGAGGACCAGAAGGTAGAAACCTTGCACTGGCAATTTGATCCTTTGAGGTCATTGAAAGTAAGGTTCATGACAGCTGATATTATATAAGTCTTCCTCAGATTAATTGAACCAAGTGTCTGTTTTGATGGGGGCAGTAAACACAGAAAAGTGTTGATAGAAAATGGGGACAATGGGAGCAAATAAAAAGAAAGAGAGAGAGATAAAGAGGGGGAGGAAAAGGAGGAGAAAGAGAAGAAAGAAAAGGAAGGAGAAAAATATGAAAATAAGAAAAGGAAGCAAAGAAAGGAAAGGAAGAAAAAGAAGTGATAGGGACGGAGTGATCAAACAACGACTTTTCTAAATTACCAAGAAAGTGTTCAGAGACTTAAGATATTTTGATTTCCAGGTGTTCAAGTGTGTGAAATTGCTCAGAAATGCATCAAAGGAAAAGCCCTTTTGTTCTCACAAACGCCAGGCCTGTTATGTCAGCAATGTGGGATTGCATTTCAGAAAGAGGATATACATTAGTAACTGAAAAAATGATCATGCCAACAGAAACATACTGCAGAAATGTGAATAATGGTCTCCATCTCCATTTTTCAGTATGCCACTTTAACCATTTGGAAACCCTAATATATACCAGGCAAAGCATAAAAATGAGAAAATAATTCCTTGATGAAAATATTTTCCTGGAATGAAAAGAAATTCTAACTCTTGTAGAAAAATAGATTCCTCATTAAAACCGAAATTAGAAAACAAACCCAGTTCTCTGATTTGTTTCAACAGAAGCTTCTTGGAAGCTATTCCATGAACTTTGGAAATGTAGAGCCCTGCCTCTGTGGATATCCAGCTTTGGACAAGGCATTTGGATCCCTGGCTCCCTACATCCCCATTTGCGGAGTGGGCATGGGCTATGTATGTCCAAAGGCCCTTCCCGATGCAACAGCTAATGATTCTGTAATTGAGAGCAGGAAAGGCTCTGCCGTGGTTTCTCAAGTGAGAAAAGAGTTCGGGGTTAGTAATGGAGAAGGTATTCTTACAGGTCCCTTCTGATTTCATGCATGACCTTGTGAGATCCCAGCAGCCTCCGTAGCAGGTGGATTCATCAAACTTGATGACATTGAGGATCATCACTTACAAGACTCCGTTGTCTTTCTTATTCCTTGTTCAAGCAGGAATTGGGCTAGTATTGCTTGTAATCTTGGATGAGCCATCCAGGATTTATTTCAAAGGCTCTCCCATTTTTTATCGATACTGCTGCACAATGACCATCTCCAGGGAAACCCTCGAGAGCCTGCAACCTATCTGCAAGCTTCTGTCTGCTGTTCTGGTGAAGGAGACTTGATCCTTAGAGAATCTCAGCTTGCTATCTTTATTTGAAAGCCAAAGGAGAGAAATCAGAGATGCTTGAACAAGTTGACAGTCGGCATAAAAACAGTGAACAGACAAGAAATGAGTATAGTCAACCAAGAAACTCAAGTGAAAAACAATTGTACATCCATGGATTTGGCATTGCCCCTGACTGGTCAGAATTTTCTCCAAGAGGGGGCATGAATGAGGACTGGGGAGGCAGTGGCAGGCCTTGTTCTTCAGAGGCAAAGCAGGGGAGGAAGTTTGCTTTAGAAACAAGAAAAGAGGGTAACCTGGGTGGCTCAGAGGTTGAGCATCTGCCTTTTGCTCAGGTCAGGATCCCAGGGTCCTGAGACCGAGTCCAACTTCAGGCTCCCCACAGGGACCCTTCTTCTCCCTCTGCCTGTGTCTCCGTCCCTTTCTGTCTCTCATGAATATATAAATAAAATCTTTTAAAAAAAGGAAGCAAGGAAAGATTGTTCATTGTTATTTTTATTATGTTTTCAGTGTAAAAAATTACCAGATTCCTAAAAAGCCTCACCCAAACATCCATGTTATAATCATTCCAGGTTATCTCCCTTTGGAGGGCAACACCTTCACATTTTTCCTTTAGGTTTTGTTTCAAACATACCTATCCTGGGACACCTGGGTGGCCTAGTGGTTGAGCATCAGCCTTCAGTTCATGGCATGATGCTGGGTTCCCAGGATCCAGTCCCGCATTGGGACCCCCACAGGGAACCTGCTTCTCCCTCTCCCTATGTCTCTGCCTGTCTATGTGTGTCTCTCAGGAAAAAAATTTTAAAAATCTTAAAAAGCAACCAACAAGCACACCAAGGATAGGTGTATCCTTAAGGTATTTTTCTCTTTCAGATATAGATTTTTCACTGTAGTTGGCAAGAGTGTAGGGAGTTAAGGCTATCATGAAAATTGGAAGAAAAGACTTATTACAGTATATAATGAGATAATAATCCCACAACTTTATGCAGAAATAAGATACATTTTATAGATCAGTAGTTTGAAGAAAGTTCACAAATTTGGGGGGATGTTAACAATTCCTGTACTTTTTGATTTAGATGCTCTGACATTACTATGCTCTCTTGTGAATGAAGAACACTCTTGGAGGAAAACAATCTTTTATTTTATTATCCCGGACTCTTTTCCTATTCACAATTCTTAGGTTTGTAAATACAGCAAATCTTACTGTTATTTAGAGGACAAAGTAAGATGTGACTTCCCAAGAATCCCTGAGTTCCTGTGTTAGCTGAGGTGGTTCAGTAAGGCAGGTTAGTTGTAATGGGAAAGTGTTG